GTTTGCAGCCTTCGCCTCACGTCGAAGGGGTAGACTCGGCTCGGTGTCATTTTCTTTTCTTCCTCCTCTCATTCCGTCCAGAGGTTGCCCCGTCACCCTCCACTTGCTCACCACCCCCTCCGACCCTCTCTCCCGCTCGTACTCGTGTATTATCGCCATATTGGTCGGCTCTCCATCCCCCTTGCTCGTGGCGCACCCGCGTCTGTGTATATACACGTCTATCTCCCTCGCTCGTTCCGCTGCTCGCGCGTCATAGCGCGCGCAAGCGCGTACTCGGGTCACGCAGGCTGCTGACACGCGCGTACCACCGCCGCGTGTAGAACGCCGCTCATTAATGGCACATCCGATGCGAGCTGGATGCAACGTGCACGCTCGAAATGGCCTAATGACGGCCGCGGCGCAGCAGCCGGTAGAGCAATTCCGGAGGTAAACGGCCGTGGGTCTTTGAGAGACAAAACACGGGGGGAGGGGGGAAGCAGCCCGCGCTGTAATATTCATATTCGGAACAACGCTCTCCTGTGTGATAGCACACAGCGATAACAACAATCTTGATCCGATTGCGTAACGTTTCACGAAACACTCAGCCGCGCGGGTCGCTCGGAGCGGTTCTTCTGGAAAAACCGCAGCGCCGGGGAGAACCATTCGGAGAAACGTATCGTGCCGGTGCATTGCGCCGATCTCAATAATGATTCATTAAGTTATTACTGCGAAGATCTTTCACGCTCTCCGGCAAAAGAAAGAGTGAGAGAGAGAGAGGGGGAGGGGGAGGGAGACTTTATTGACGTAGGCATTTGGGAATTAAATGGAATTAATGCGTGCTGGGCGCGTTTTGCGAAATTCATTGCGAAACGGAGAAGCGTGAAGTTAGCAATTACATGTAATTTCGCTATTCGCATTATACCCGATGCAGCCTACGGTGTATACGTGCGAAACAGCAACAACGCGTTCATCGACGTCCTTTGTTCTCCCCGGTGATTAACCGTAACTATGTAATCTTGCGCAATTTTTCGCGATTGCTCGTGGCTTTTGTGGAGCGGGCAGTTGGCGTGACGCAACTGTTTGAAGTTGAAACAGTTGTAGCGACGCAACTCTCCGCACGCTCGCTCGCTCACGGAGTTGAAACACGAGACAAATCGCATCTTTAATTTATGATATGTGAGCGCCGCGCCGCCGATCGTCCTCCGAGATCGTGACGCGCGGGTGGAACGAGGGGCGGGGAGGGAACGACGACAGATTATATCATATCGGGTTATAATGCGAGTCTGCGCGCGAACTTTGTTTCACCTTAATTTCGGCCCCGATGAAGTTTCTATACTTTGTGTCGTTATATACACTGTGCGCGTACTTTGTAACACAACGCCAAGAGGCGTCGAGAGTGTACAGACGAAGTTCTTTTGCGGAGAAATATACGGGCGCAAAGAGAACAGGAAAGTCTCGCGAAAGGTGTACGCGACGTATTAAATTTTTTACGAGCCCCATTCGTCGAGAATGTTTGATCATTTTAATGTTTCACGATATACAAGTCCGGCCTGAGAGCAAATTAGATCTTTGTCGTAGCCCGAAAGAATGACTCCTCGCCGCGTGCTGAAGAGAAAGACGGAGAAAGAGAGAGAGAGAGAGAGAGAGAGATAGAGAAAGAGAGAAAGAGCAAGAGAAAATCATTACTCGGAATTAATATTCGCATTGAGAGATCCTACACCGACCAGCTGACTATACACCTCTGTGTGAAGTACTGTGAAACCGAGCGAGATGAAACAAACGACCGGGCATTGTTTCGAATAGATGGCTTATTTGAAGTTGAGACAATACCGAAAGTACTTTAGGTAAATGTTTCAAGTTTAATCACACACATACACACACACACACACACGCACGCACATATACACGCATAATACTTGAAATGCTTAAAAAACGTGTGAATCCACATGTTTGTCACGTGTTCTCACGGAACGAAAAAGTCAATTCGCGCAACTGATTTTCTGTTGCTTCGTGAGGCTAGACGAAAACTCGGCCGCAGGAACATAAAGACTCCTGCAGGAGATTTCCATTTAGTCAATTGTTATCTCAACCGAATTTCTCAACGCAGCCGAGTGTTCACACGGATGTTTTCGCTCGCGATACAGGGGGATACCGTTTCTCGGCGAGTTTTCGCCAGGTGCCTATTCCGTCACACGGCGAACAGAGGTTATATTTTCCCGCGTGCCACACATTCGACTCTCTCGCGTGATGAAATGTCAAAAATACAACATTATCGGAACCCTGTAATCGCTAAATTCAAACATCTCTCGATCGTCCGTCAGCAAACAAATTTCCAAAATTGCCGAGTCCACTTTGCCACAATAAAAATCTTTACAATGCAATCTTCTAAACGTTGAAATTAAAATCGCATATCGGTTACGGAAAATTCCCCATTGTCGTTTGGAAAACATAGAACAGTCAGAAACATGGAAATTTCAGAATTCATTTTCTGTGGCAATTTTGCCACAGAGTTTCGATTTCTCCATCTTCATCAGCGCGTAATTATCAGATACCATGTGATTCGCGAGAGGTGCAAGGTTTTCGCGATCAAACTGTGCTTCACTTTTTTCGCAACAGATGCAAATATAGCCATATGGCGAAAAATGATCCGCGATTAATTCCACAAGAAACCCGAAAAAAAGGGTTCGAAAAAGAGGAGCTCAGAAGGATTAAAATTTCGACAGCCCCCGACGAGGTCGGTCCTGGCGCCGCCTCGGCAAACAACAGCGGCGCGCAGCAGCAACGTTGCGCAGCAACGTACTGTACGTCCCTCTCTCTCTCTCTCTCTCTCTCTCTCTCTCTCCCGCTCACTCTCTTTCTCTCTCAGCGGAAGGCGGGAATTCGATCGCGCGCCTGCTACGACAGTGTATACCTCGCAGGTGACTCGTTTTCACCGGCGCGCTCGATCGGACGGTTGCCTGCCTCGCCTGCCTGCCTGCCCGTCCATCCATCCATCCGTCTGTCCGTTCGTTCGTTCGTTCGTTCGTTCGTTCGTTCGTTCGTTCGCCTGCTCGCCAGGCTGGCTTCCTTCCTCGCACAGGCACAGGCAGACGGCCACCTGAAAGAGTGACGCCGCCACGCCACGCCACACCACACCACGCTCGCTATTGATTTTTCCGCGACTGTGCGAGGGCCACCGAGGGCCTGCCAGCGCACCACGCTATGTCACATCATACGGAAGGTGGATTACGCCTCGTGACGGCAACGTGGGTGCTCCAGACGCGTGTACGCCTTCCCCTCCCCGTCCCTCCTCTCTCTTTCTCTCTCTCTCTCTTTCTCTGTGAGTGTGTGTGCACATGCGACACGTAGATGTGCGGACGTGTGGATACGCGCGTGTACGTCGTACTTGGGCGGCGACATACGCGCGCAGATGATTTGACTTAGGTCGCAGAGTATACCGGGTGGCGATCCCGACGAAGCGTAACCGGCCGGGTCTACATGTCTGCTCGCCTGCCTTCCGTTCTTGCCGCGGTCAATCGATTTACATGTTTACGACGGGGCAAATCCTCGCGGGGGTAACCGCCGGCCGTTCCACGCGGCTGGCTGGCTGGTTGGTGGGCTGGTTGGATGGGCTTTTAGGGAACGCCGAATTCTGAGCGTATTTTTCCCTTCCGGCGGGAAATCCGGAGATTCGCGGGCCCGACGATCTCGAGCGAGTCGTTGCGAATTTTAACGCGCGCGCGTAGCCAGGAGATATCTGTGTGTGCCTGTGGATGTATGTATGTGTGTGTGTAGGAGTAAAATAAGGAGGTCCTTATTCTCCCCCACGCCGCTCGATTAATCCTATTTCTACTAACCGATTCAATTACGGACAGGTATTTACCTTCGGTGATAAATTCTTTTCCGTTCTTTACTGTCGGTCGCCCACATTGTGGCCGATTTGCCATCGGGTTATCGTAGCGCGCACGACGTATCGCGTGATTTACGAGAGGGAAATATCGTTTCCTCGACTTTACGCGTAACCTACGGGCGTGTACGGAGTACGGCATCAGATAGTAAGTCAGTTACCTACCACTATTCGATCCATCGACCAGCCTGACGCCAATTTTCCTCGGTGGAAACCATCAGTCGCGAATCCGTCATTCAACGTTAAATGTCATTTTCAGTTTGAACATTAAGTATCTTTGTGGCTAAGCTTCCACTAAACGGTCACATCACAAATCAGCTTAAGTAACACTCACTTGAATTTGAGGAAAGAGTATTTCCGCAGTTTAATTTCCAAAGTATTCTTTGTTTTCAAGGTTTTGGGAATCCTTCGGCCAGTTTGATATAGATTTTTCCTCGTTGAAAATTATCAGTCGTGATTCCGTTCATTTTCAATATTCAATATCACGAACATTAAATATCATTTTCACTTTAAACATTAAATATCGTTAAACATCGAACATCTTCGTGACTAAACACCATCTCGCAAATTAGTTTAGGTAAGACTCACTCGAATTTGAACGAAGAATGAGTACTTCCGCAGTTTAATTCCCAAAGTAGTTTATTTTCAAGGGTTTTTAATGTAAAGATTCTCTCTCTCTCTCTCTTTTACAATGCTCCGACTTTAAATTGACCGAGGAACCGCAAGAGTTGCCTCGATAAGTCCGGGACACCCGATATGCGGAAGTAGACGTGAATTATATATGCAATCTTCATGAGGGCCTACATATCAGTTTCAATCGATGCAAGCCAAGT